CCGTCCCCCACCCTTCTGGCGGTTTAGATCTACAGGCAGTCCAATCGATCAGAACAGACTGGGGAAGGGACCCCCCGAGGTCGTCTAGCCCGACCCCCTGCTCGAGCAGGAGACCCCGACAGAATCACAGAAAGACAGAGCTGGAAGGGACCTCGGAGGTCGTCTAGTCCAGCCCCCTGCTCAAGCAGGAGAACCTTCCGGAATCCTAGAAGGGACAGAGTTGGGAGAGACCTCGGAGGTCATCCAGTCCAGCCCCCTGCTCCAGCAGGAGACCCTCAGAGAATTACATAGCTGGAAGGGACCTTGGAGGTCATCTAGTCCAGCCCCCTGCTCAGGCATGAGACCCTTACAGAATCCTAGAAGAACAGAGCTGGAAGGGGCCTCGGAGGTCATCTAGTCCAGCCCCCTGCTCTAGCAGCAGAACCTACCAAAAACACAGAAGAACAGACCTGGAAGGGACCTTGGAGGTTGTCTAGTCCAACCCCCTGCTCAAGCAGGAGACCCTGACAGAATCATAGAATAAGAGAGTTGGAAGGGACCTTAGAGATCATTTAGTCCAACCCCCTGCTCAGGCAGGAGACCCTGACAGAATCATAGAATAACAGAGCTGGAAGGGACGTCGGAGGTCATCTAGTCCAGCTCCCTGCTCTAGCAGGAGAACCTACCAAAAACACAGAAGAACAGAGCTGGAAGGGACCTCGGAGGTCATCTAGTCCAACCCCCTGCTCTAGCAAGAGACCCTTACAGAATCCTAGAAGGACAGAGTTGGGAGAGACCTTGGAGGTCATCTAGTCCAGCCCCCTGCTCAAGCAGGAGAACCTTCCAAAATCACAGAATAACAGAGCTGGAAGGGACCCCGGAGGTCATCCAGTCCAGCCCCCTGCTCAAGCAGGAGACCCTGACGGAATAAAAGAGCTGGAAGGGACGTCGGAGGTCATCTAGTCCAACCCCCTGCTGGAGCAGGAGACTCTTACAAAGAGTCACGGAAGGACAGAGCTGGAAGGGAGCTCGAAGGTCATCTAGACCAACCCCCTGCTCAAGCC